TGCATATTATTATTATGGTTGGTCACACAGTCAGCCAGATGTTTCGACTGGATTTGTCATTTTTATCCACCTGTCGAGTCCTTCCCAAGAACCTGGGATGGGCAGATGTTTGTTTAAAGGTATTGTCACAGGATATAAGCTGTTCCAAGCAAAGCTGCCTTTGGCAATGGACTGATGGTGATTTTGTTGTGGTTATTATTATTATTTCATAAAAAAACATGTGACAGAAAAACAGACACAAGGATCACATCTTTGACTTTGGTGTTCTTTGGAAATTGCTCCAGCCAGGAACTTAGGAATTATCCAAGTAACAGCATAAGATGTAACATGTATCCAGCAAGGTGGTGTGTGTGGGTGTGCGCGCATGCACATGTGCGTGTCTGTAAGTCTACAGGTGATACAGCCGTAATGTTTAGTTCTTGTAAAAATTGATTTAATCTCTTTGCTGCTCTGCCTGAGGCACCAATAACCATAGGGATGATTTGGCAAAATCTTTTTCCTAATCTCTCTGTTTTGATTGTTAGATCTCTATATTTTGCAATTTTTTCCTATTCTATGTCCTTGGTACAGCTGTCTCTAGGTATTGCCCCATCAACAGTTACTCTTTTCTTTTTAATTATTTGTATATCTGCTGCGTTGTGTTCTAGATGGCTATTATTATTATTATTGCTATTATTTGGCTTCATATCCAGCTTTTGACACCTGCAGGTTGTTTGGAAGTCTTTGATAGCATCTGACAACTGCCATGCGGTTCATGTCAACGCCAGACAGAAATCCGCCCCAAAGCAATCGGGGTCTGGAAATGGCTGACAGCTGAAAGGCGGGTAGCATTTGGCTGCAGGCTTGTATGGAAACAAAATACATTTGGAGGCTCATTTAACCCTTCAAAGGGATTAGATCCTGCATGGAGACATCCAGCGGATCTTCCAAAATGTTGAACCACCGATGCTGAGATCAAGTGTGCATATTTAGAAGCCAAAAATTGCACCAATTTTTGAAATTTGTTTAAAGAACCATTCTAGCTGTAAATAACATGATATGCCTGTGAAAGTATAATTGCAGGGCAGATAACTGAAGGCATCACAAACCAGCTTGTGACCAGGAATGTAGCGCTGCTGGTGGTGGGAAGTACAGGACCCTGAATATAATAAGAATAAGGCTATGTTTGGGGAAGAAGGCACTCCAAAAATTGGGCAAAGCCAGGATGAGATAGATACAGAGAGCCCAAAAAACAAAATATGATATAGTAATGTAAAGTAAATTGAATTAAAACTACTTAATACCACCACTCCCTTCTATTTAATACCCCTTCTATCTCAAGCCCAAAGAAGGGTTCTGAACAAGGATGTCCACAGGATGTTGTAAAAACAGTCAAGATGGTAGCCACAATGGTGTGATTGATGCTACTCTGGTTTCTTATGTGTGTTGCATCTAAAACAGCCAGGGCTTTGATCACACCATCGTAGCCACCATCTTGACTTGCTTCTCCACACCTGCAGACCTCTGCTTTTGAAACAGCCTGGTGCTGTGTTTACAGCCAGTGTTTTGGAACTGGGTTTTGCTCATCTTCATTCTTCTCTCCTTCCTGCAAGATGTGGAGACAATGAAGACCATTTCAGCCCACTGCATTGCCAACAGACCTTCTACTGTTTCCTGTGGCCTCCAGAGCTTCCTTTTGCTATCACCTTGGACTTCCCTCTTAACTCCTGCCCAAGGGAACTGCATATTAGCCTCACCAAGTTAGTTCCAGGGAGTACACGTTAAGCAGCATGACCCTGATGAGTCCCTCTCTGTTGGACAGATCAATCCTTTTGAATATGAAGGATATTTAACTCCTTTGGGCTGGTAGAGTCTTCAGGAAGAGGAGAAACAGGTTGAAATGAAGTTGAAATGCGATAGAAAAGTCATTCAGTAGAATAGGGGTCATATGGATGCATCTCACGGAAAAGCTTATGTTTCTCTTTATAAATGATGCTTCTTGTTACAACAGGTGTGTGTAAGAAACTTTTTATATTCTGGGAGAATAGATACACACACAGAGAGAGACACTTGCTACACTAGTGAAAAGCAACAGGGAAAATAATACCAATTATGAAATAATATTGAGCAGACAGTGGGCATTTGGAGCTGAAATTTAATGCTTGCAATTTTAGATGGATATTGGCAGGTGTAAGATAAATATCTCCATCACTTTTCAGAGGTTTACTTTATGTAGGATCACACTTTGTACTGAATCATAATGTGATTCGTTTATTATTGGTTTAGGATGATGTGTGAACCCACCCATTATGGCCTAGAGTTATACATCAGCCAGACAGCCAGATGATTATAGTTTGTCAAACCATGGTTTAAAAATCCTGGCATAGCATCATGTGTGAATGAAGCCTAAGACTAGATCATGGAGGTGCAACCTGACACCCTAAGGTATTGGCAGACCTCCCCCCCGCCACACCTGCAACTCTCAGTTATGGTGCCGGACTCTCTCCAAAAGTTGCCGTGAAATTATACATTCCCATGTTGAGCTCCAGTGTGGGATAATGATTGGGGACTGGGGAGGACTGGGGAGACCATCTTAACCAGCCAGTAGGCTCATATACTTACCAGGCAGAATACAACTGGAAATATTGATTGAATTCAGAAAACCAATGCAGTTCATTTTACAACTTGAATTGATTCAGAAAATTGATCCAACCCCACTTTTTGATTCTCAAAACAATTCAGAAGAAGCATTTGTCTGCATGCACAGAAATATCTGAATTGTCTAAGTGTATTCAGAAGCATTCAGTAATCAGAAAGTTAATTCAGTTCAGTGATTTGACTGAATTGTCTTTAAATCAAGTCACCAAGTTTAATATTCGTACAATCTTACTAGAGGCCTACCTCAACCCAACCTACCTCACAGGTAGTTGTTATGGGGAAACTTAAAGGAGGGATATGTTATGAGTTCCTGGAAGAAAGATGGAATATACATCTAAACAAAGAATAAGAACATTATGACATACTTGGAGAGCGATCCTATTGACCATACTGAATTAATTTATTTTTAATTGAAATCAAGTTAGTTTTTGGCCTGGCCTTGTCCCTGCCTACTCCTGGAACTCTGGTGTCCTCCATAAACCAACTTTATCTCTTGCCTTGAACAAAGATTGTGCACTTCTGCTCTAGATCCCATCTAATAAAGAGATCATCCTAAAATGCTCTTCGAAAAGAAGAATGCACATTGAGGTAGAGTAAAGCTTAATTCAGTACTTCATCACACAGGGAACAGAGAGTAATGAAGCAAATTGATTGATCGGCAAATTATATTGCCAATTAAAGGAACATTCCCAGTACACAATTTCCATTTAGGAAAGGTATCCGAAATCTGGGAAGAAATTCAACCAAAGAGAACTTCATTGCTGTTGTTTTCCTCAGCTGTCTTCCATAATTTCCATGGAAACTTCCTTTTCTCAATTGCTGGGGTTAGCAGTTCCAATGATCTGACTGCTAAATCCATTGAGATTTTCTTGATTTATTGATAGGAACAGGGTGCGGCCTATAAAACAATGCACCATTATATTCTTCCCATGCAGACAGATGAATCAAGTTTCCAGGTTTCAAGAAAAACTCAAGTCTGGTTTCACAAGCGAGTCAGTCATCTAGTAAGGGAGACCAACAGTATATCCGGGAAAACAGAGTATCCTGTTGGGGAGCTAAATAAATAAAAAGATGTCCTGGAAATTTAATCTAAGCCAGAAATGCTGTGTTTTTCCATTGCTTTTTTTTTTTAAAGGAGGCATTTAATTTTACTTTGGTGCTATAAACACGCAACCCTACAAATGATCCCATTTGGGTGAGATGAATGGGAGCTTTTGGTTTAAAGTCCACAACCATCTCTACTCCTGCATTTCCAATTTCAGAGATGCTTCCAAATCTCCTTAGCAAGCCCATAGATCAGGAACTGGAAATTCATAGCCCATGAACCACAGTTAGGTCCGATCCCTTGAGGCACAAGACTGCACTGTTGAAATACAATAAGGGTTCAGTTGGGTGGAACGTGATTTTAAAAACAAAAACCAAAGACTTAAAAGAAGACTTGTCTATTTTAGTGCACCACCCCCTGAAGCCTGAAGCCCAAAAGTTATGGGCCCAGCATTTCTGGTGGTGATAATAATTTATTACTGCTACTGAAATGGACGGAAGGAACAACCTTGAGGAACAGGAGGAAGAGCTGCTACCAAGACAACAGTCAGATAACAGAGAACAGAGTCCAGGGCAGAAATATAATTTGAGAAGGTGTCTCAGGCACTTGACCTTCCCTAGTTCTCACAAAGATAAAGGGGAGGGAGGGGGTAGCACTGCAAGCATTCAGACTTGCAAGATTCTGTCACTACAACCTTATCACTAGCTTTGGTATCCTAGTCTGGCCTACACTCTGGGCTGACAGCTACACTCTCTTAATCCTATTTGGTTTCTTCTTTTCAAGGTGGTCCCATGCTCTGTAAAGGTTGTCCAGCTGTACTACAGATAAAGAAGAACCTTAGCCTATCACAGCCTTCCCCAATCTCCAGCCTTCAGATAGTCTGGAGATTTCCATCTGATTGGGAAAGGCTGCCCTACTTTTTGCAGGCTGCGAAATCCAACATGTCCATAAAAAACAATTAGTAGTCCAAGACCACCAGATTCTCAACCTTTGAAGAAAGATGTCAATATGTCTCTCCTTGACAAGAGTTCTTGAAGCAGTTTGCAATTGAAAGTCACAATTTAAAAAGCAATGGGTTAAAAGAAACAAACTCCTACATTAAAATGTTTTATAAAATGCTAAATAACACCAACAAGATAAGCATTAGCATATTATTAAAAGCCCTGGAAATATTTAAAAAAGCAAGTCTTTGCCTGGCACCAAAAAGAAAATAAGGTCCATAAAACAAATAACTTCTACAAGGAAGATTCATCAGATCAAAGCCAATTTACTCTCATGTTGAAAATATGAACAATAATGTAATAGTCTCTCAGAAGGAAGTTCTGATCTATTTATATCAGGCACAAGTTGTTTAAGTTTGCATCTGAGCTAAACTGAACATTTTACACATGCAACATCCATTCACAGCAGTATGGAAGAGACTGGTTTTGATGTGAAAATAGCTGTTTTGGGAGAAATCCCAAATAACATGTTGATATGAATATTCATCTTCCCTCCAGGTTCAGCACCATGTTTTGACCTGGAGGGCTTATTGGCCACCATTCCTCTTGGATGGCTGCTGCTGTTTCGGACTTTCTGGATCACTTCCCAGGAAGAGGATACTATTGGTGTCTATTCAGTCAGGATGATAGATCATGATGACATTTCTGAGGAAAATGAAAGCAAGCAAGAGCAAATTTATGCCTAAATTCAGAATGCTCCTTGGTTTTTTTTTCCCCCCTGAGATCACATTACTGAGAAGCTGAGTTGTAATATCAGTGAATGCATTGTAGGGCCGTACTCGTATGGTATTAATGATTTTCTTTTGTATTTCAGCCATATAAGTTCCAGTGAACAGCCCTTGGAAAAATTTAGGTCATGTCAAAATTGATTTGTGGATTAGCAAGAAGACATATAGACACGCACATCTGATCTTTTAAAAAACCCTTTCTCTATACATAGAAGAAGGAAGGGATCATTAATATAGGGGTATCTGCATGGTGTAATTAAAATTCACAATGGTGGCCATGATGGTTCAATTAAAGCTCTGCCTGTTTTACATGTGTGTCACATGTGCAACACACACAACATACAGGTGAAGCTTTGGCAGCACCATCATGGCCAGCCTCTGGATGTTTTTCTTTTTTATCATATCCTGCAAGTGCCCCTGCCATAGTATAAATGCTCTGGTAGAAAGGCAACTAAACCTATCTTTTTCCAGCTGGAGATCTGATGTGTTAATTAACAAATTCAACATCATGTTTAACTGAGAGCATGTTACAGCAAGAAGTCTCAGTAGATGGCAGGTCCTTGAAGTCTTGTCTAGGCGGGAAGGCTCAGCAGAGCTGGGGTGGTTCCAAGACTCCTTGGAAGTGCCAAGGTTGTCGACCAAGCTGAGAAGGCAAAAGCAGTTGATCGAAGGAAGCAAGGGCAACCCACTTTTCTCTGGCTTCCAGGAGCAGTACGTGATTGCGTCCATGAAGCCACCAAGAGTTGAGCCTGACCTCACAGCAGCCTTTACTTTTAGCTTTCTTAGCAAGAAACTATTCCAAAGATCTAACACCATATCAGTTGGAATACATCTGGTATTATTGACATGACCACAAATGGCGGAGATCCTGGGGTGAATCAGAGCCAAGTCGTACAGGGCTTTTTATCTAGATCATTGGTCATCCTAATAAAGTAAAATAGCATATAGGGCTTTGTAAGCTAAACCCAGAATTTGGAATGGTATCCTGAAACTACTGGAAACCAGCGCCAGATCGATAGCACCAGTATTGTTCTTCCCTGCTAACAAATGGGCTACTGCATTTTGCACTAGCTGTGAATTTCCAAGTAGTCTTCAAAGGCAGACCTACGCACAACACATGGCAGTAATTTGAGTGAGATGGGCAGTGACTAAATTTGAACTATTCATAAAGATATTAAAAAATCTAGACACGTTAAAGCAGGAGTTATCGCCAGGGTATCCCACTCCAGGTAGGGCAGCTGCTAGGCACTGGCTGAAATTGGGCAAACGTCTCCCTGGCCACAACCTCCAGCTGCCCGTCCAGCAGTAGCTGAAAGTTCAGGAGGATCCCAGACTGAGGACGCGTTTCTTTAAAGGAATGCCATCCCTTCCAGAGTTCACAGACACCCTGGGCAAAGGATTGAAATTGTCCTTCCTCCAGGCATCTCACCTCTCTGCATGCCTAGTATGGCCTCTTTATTCAAAACCCAAGGGTTTTTTTCCATTGCTCATTAAGACCTCAACTCTTTAATGTTCCTTTAACTCTTTAAAGTTTAAAGGAATGTTCCTTTAACTCTTCTCTTCTCTTCTCTTCTCTTCTCTTCTCTTCTCTTCTCTTCTCTTCT